CATTGGCCAAAGCATATCACATAGCCAAACCCAATGAGGTAAGGACATAAAATCTTCCCATAGGAGGTACAGTAAATCACCTGACAATGGACAGGGTTGAGTGACCAGTGACTGAAAAAAATACTATTATCTAGCATGATAATAAACACTGATTATAAATAAAATGGAAAACATGGGAAAGAAGAAAATAAAAATTACCTGTAATTCCATTGTTAACACTGATGTATTTCCTTCCAGGCTATGTCTGCATTTTGCTTGTTTTGACAAATTTAGGATTATAAAAGTATATACCTACTTTATAAGCTGCTGGTTGATATAGAATTATATAATGAACACTTCCCCACATGAAAACTCATTCTTTTAAAATATCACTTTAATTCCTACACAATTTTTGTATTAGTTTGGATAGACCAGGTTTTGTAACAATAACAAAAAAACTCAACTTTGTTGCATGGCCTCAAGCCACAAAGGTTTATTTCTTTTCTTTTTTTTATTTTCAATTAGCCAACATATAGTACATGATTAGCTTTTGATGTGTTCAACAATTCATCAGTTGTGTATAACACTGAATGCTCGTCACAATCATAAAGGTTTATTCCTTATTCAAGCCTCATGTCCAGTGCAATTTGGCATGGCAATTCTGCTTATCTTGATCATTTTGGAACCAAACCAGAAAGATCAGCTACCATCTCAAATGTATCTGGCTAGTGTGTAAGACGGGAAGGAGAAAATAGGAAAGCATGCATTGGTTGTTAGAGCTTCTGTCCCCAAATTTTCACATTTTATTAGCCAAATCAAGTCATGTGGTGTGACTTTTTTTTTCCCAATGGACACAATATTTTGCAGATCCTCCAATCAAGAGGTTGAGTCTATTTCTCTATCCCTTGACTCAGCTTGGCCATATGACTTACTTTGGCTAAAGGGACAGTAGTAGCAAAAGTAAGTAAAGGCTTAAAATGTCCTTGTGCATTGAGGCTTGTTTCTCTTAATGCTTTTAGAGCCACCCAAGATTGACATAGAGGATGACAGATCACATGGAGAGAGAGGCCATGCTGTTCCATTTGTTTCAGCTATCCCACATAGGTAAGGAATGTCATTCTCAACCATCAAGTTCCAGCCAGCCTAGACCCGAAGAACCATCCAGCCAATTCACACATTTTGGGAACTTTTTAAGCCACTAAATTTTGAGGTGGTGTGTATACCATAAGAGCTGACTTATACATATCTATATCTAATTTCATCTGGGAGAGAGACATGATATTTTTAAAAAGTCTTATTGACCACTTCAATATGAAATCTTATGGATGTGCCATCATGTATTTAACCAGTTTCTTATCACATTGTTACCTAAATCATTATATCATATTCATTATAACTATAAATAACACTACCGTGAACATCTTTGTGTATACATTTTTACCCAAGTTTCTGATTATTTCATCATAACATTGGTGGAAGAAGAACTGCTGTCAAAATTTAAGCCTCTTAATGACCAAATTATGAGCCAAAAGGATGATACTAATTTATAGATCCACTGAAAGTACATAAGCATACCCATTTCTCTTCACTCTTATTCAACATCTAAGTGTGAGCTTTTAAAAGCATCTTTGCTAATCTAATAAGAGAAAAGTCTCATTTAAATTTTAATTTCCTTGAAAATTGAGATCCCTTTGTCTTATATATATTGTTAACAGCCAATAATTCTTACATAATACTCAGTGTATATGATAACATTTCCTTATTTTTCTATATTAAATTAAATCCAACTTCAGTGTCCCACAGGACAAAATTGGCAGAAAGCTCAACATCAGGTATTTTTTCCAGTTTCTTTTCCCTCTCTTAGATGGTGAGGAACCTGGAGCCCTGAATGGATATTATAAAGGTGGTGGGGCTCTGTGCTGGTACTTCATCTCCCTCCAAGCTAGGTGCAGGGGAAACTTTATGAAGGGGTGAGACCATCTGGGTTTCCACAACCTTGAAGGTAATGTTCAGTTTTCACATTTAGACATACCTTATTCAGGTCCATCTACCTCAGAGGCATTAGAGTGGGTGCAAGTCCCCTCCTGCTCAAATCTTTAAGCACCTGTTGCTGCCCAATATCATATTCTGCCAGCACCACAGGAAGGCAGGATGCAGAACTCCAGTTCCCTTTATTTGGCAGAGTTATAATTTGAGAAAGCTTGTGTGGCATGTGCGGGTGGGGAGGTGATGAAGGTGGCTGGGAGGACAAGAGGTTATATGTACATATTACATAATATTTTTCCCAAAGGAATGAGCAGATATCTCAGAAGACAATGTAACTGTTAGAAGCAAAATATAAATGTCAAGTCTAAGAAATTACATATAGAAGTATTGAACCATAAATCATCATATTTCTTCTATAGTTAAGAAAAAAAATCACAATAATTTTAGTGAGTTAGAAAAGAAATGTAAAGTCAGACTATGAACAGACTTGTGAACTTCATGAACAGACTTACTATCAAGGCCCTCTATATCTACACCTCCCATCCCCACTATTTTTTCATACCCTGCTCTTTGAAAAAGCTTCATTTCCACCAGATGTCATAGGACATAGCTTCTGTCAGTTAATGAACTGACAACAGTTCTCATCATTTGGGGTGGTGGGGTAGATCCCCAAACCCAGTCACATTCCTTTTCCTCCAAGGAACATATAGTCCTATCTACAACACCTTTTCAGGTAAAGCAGCTGAGTGACAAAGCAAAGTCCTCATGAGACCCACTAACTGAGCACCCATTGATTTATGTGCTCCTATGTCATGGTGGTCAGTTGGTGAGAGGGCATTGCCTGCATCTAAGACAAATGAAGAACTTGCAAGAAAACACACAAAGGCTGCTGGTGCCAAACACGTTATGAGGCAACATTTGCCAATGCAATCTGTGTGTTGTGTCTTCTATAAAAGAATGTCAGCAAAGGAAGGAAATGGAAACCATTCCACAATGTGGGCAACCTCTCCTTGCTCACATATGCTAGAGCTGGGACAGTAGATACAAAAGTGGACTGGGGCGGGGGGTGCCTGAGAAGGAAGACTGGAAAAGGTGTCAGCTCTCGTACTTAGAATTTGTTGCTAGAAAACAGAAGAGCTGTTCGATTGGCCCCCCACAGAACTGTTTAACTCCTCTAAGTCTACCTGGAGTTTTTTGATGTAGTTGCTCCACCATAAAATTTCATATCTCCTTAAGATTCAACTTCAGCTAAAGACCCTGAAGAAACAGTGCCTCCTTCCAAAGAACTGAAGAGTCGAGAAGCTTCTAGGTTCAACTGGCCAGTGTCTAAACTGACAACCTGTTCTTCAGCCTGAGGGATGATAAAACTTCACGGACTGGGAGAGAATTCCACGTCAAGAATGTCTGCTTCTGAGAGTTAGCTCTGATTGCCCTCATCCCCATTAACAAAAACAGATGTGTGCTCATGAGCAGAGTAAACATTCAAGGTCAATGTATGTTCCTCTCTGCCAATCTAGTTTGGCACTTCAATATGAGCAAATAGTCTATGAAGCAGAGTGGAACTTTTCTGTAACACTTGTGTCAAGTGATGGGACTCACATCTGTGTATTAGGTTAACTGTTATATTAAATATCTATGGAAGAGACTTTTTCTGTTTCATGGGGAATGATTTGAGCTTTGATAAATCTACTGACATGGAATAGTTATTCTCTACCAGAGAAACAAGAGAGTATGATATTTGAGAGCCCAAGTTTCAATCCTGGTTCTATTGCTTACTATCTATGTAACCTTGTGCAAGTCATTTAACTTCAGTTTCTATCTCTAAAATGGAAGTTTTAATAGCATGTATCTCCTACCTTGTCAGCACTAAGCATGCAAAATGTGAGCTCATGCTAGGATTATTCCACAGCACCAGAGGAAGTAGAATCCAAGAAGCCTGGATACCTAAACTTGTCTTCATTCTTTCTTCAAATATGTACTGAGTACCTACAATGTGCTGGTAGAAATAGAGCAGTGATGATGAAAGATGTAACTCAATGCCATCATGGAGTTTATGGTTTCCTGGTTCATCTGCCACTCTGGATGTGAGCCTTCCATATAACTCAGCACCCTGAGCATGGTGTTTCTCAGAGTAATTTGAACATAAGAATTACCTGGCATACTTGTGAAAACACAGATTCTAAGACCTCATCCTGCTGAATATCCTAGGAAGATTCTGACTTCCTTTTCCTCACTGGCAAAATAGGGAGCAAAGCAACCCTTACCACAATCTTACTGTGCATTCGAAGAGAAAGAGCGTATGGGAACAGGCTCTGGAACCCATGAAGTTACTTTCCAGTGTGTGGCATCCAGGCTCTCTCTGGAGGTTCAGGGAAGCCAGCCAAGGGCCACTCAGCCTCTGTTCTATCTCAGTGTCCTCTTACCCCACCTCCTCTCTCTGCACTCTCTGGAGACATGAATCAAAAGCTACCTAGCCCCATTTTAACCTAATGAGCTAATGGATCTCAGACTGAAAACAGCCTCAAGTCCACCACCAAGGTGGACACCTGTATTATATTCTAGGAGCGCCTATTATAAGGCTTCAGAGGGCCATTCAGTGGCCATAACTGGTGGTTTTCAGGAGACAGCCCTGCCTTCCCTTGCCACCTGCTGAAATTTAAGATTAACCCAAAGATTAGAGTAGTGAACAGTAGAGTCTTAGTAAGTTCTCCTCACCCAGCCCCTGTCCACCTCTCCAGCTTTATCTCCCCCTCCTCCATACCATCCATCTAACCTCTGACTACCTCTTCCCTTCTTTCAGTAATAAAATCCTCCAGTTTAACTGACCACAAAGCCATCTAGAATAATGACTACATTTTTCAGCCCCCTTGCTACTGTGATCAATGGAAAGTAAGCAGAAATGTCAAATGGCCGCAACTGGGAACAGTCCTCCGTTAATAACTGGCATGTGTTTGATCCCTTTTCTCTCCTATCCTGCTGCTTGGAATGTATATGTAATGGTTAAAGCTCTAGCATCTATTTTGAATGTTGGAAACAGGACTACCCATCAGGAGAACTGGAATAGAGAAGGAGCCTGGAGCCCTGAACAGTGTGTGGAGCCAAGCCTCTAATCTGGTCTTGATTTATCAACCTCTAGACTCTTACATAAGAGAAAAACAAACTTCTATCTATGTTAAGCCACTGTTACACTGGGTTTCTGCTACTCATATCCAAAATGAGTCCTATCTGATAAAGTGCTCAGGAGCTGGATTCTGGAATTAGACTGCCTAGGTTCTATCACTTATGAGCTCATAGAAACAGGTAATTTGCTTCACTTCCTTGCTCCAGCTGTAAAATGAGAATGTTAAAGAGAGCATCTACCTTCTAGGTAAGAATGAGCCAATACACATGAGACTTGAAATATGTAAAGCCTGGCACATAGTAAATGTCTAGAATAAAGGTATGCCCCAAAGTAGCAAGATTGAAGTTTATTCTTCTCTTGAATCAGGCATAGGCATTTTTAGTGCTGAAGCAATGGCAATAGTGCTAATAATAATATCTCTAAAATGTTTGCAGAGCACTTCGTAGGAATCTTTTCAATATCTCTATGAGTTACGTATTATTACTTGCATTCCACAGAGAAGAAAATGGAAGTCTAGAGAAGTTTACTAACATGTGAAGATCACATAGCTACTAAGGGGCTGTGACAGGATTCACCCCCAGGTCTCTAACCTCCAGATTCCCTTCATTTTCCACAAAGCTTAAGTGTAAGTTGTTGTAATGCTACACATTCCTATCATGCCCTGAATATGTAATTTTTGCTGAGGGACTGCCAGGCTAAATTTTTCTATTTGTAAAGAATCAAAACAAGTGCCCAAATTCCCTGTGTAAGAAACTCTGTTTTCTGGTCCCTGGCAGCCATAAGCCCTTGTATGTGATCACCAAAAAAAAAAACAAAACAGCCCTAGAACATACTTTGAAAAAAGGGATCCGACCAGATCTCAGCTCAGCAATGGGAGTAGAGGAAAAGACTTGATCCACCTTGACTGTAATCTGGTTAACGGGGCCTGATTCTGAGTGATATTTCAGGCTCATCCTAAAAGGGGCCAAAGAAAAGTCGAGCATCTGGGGCAGGGGTGAGGATCCATGACAGTGCATGTGTTTTGAATTGGAGATTCTTTTAACAGAAGCAATTTGGAAGCAGGACTGGAAGCTGCTGCTAACTGGAACGTTGTAGCCATTTTCCATGTTCCCTGAGGGCAAGGCCAGTAGTTCTCATTGCATTTACGGGTATTTAAGTTAGATGCTAGGAAGAATTTGCTCACTCTTATGATTGTGAAAGGCAGACACAAATGTGGCTCTAGAATATTTTTATCTGTGCAGGTTTGAAAGAGGTCTAGGAAAAAAATCTTTCACACATAGAGGGTATGGACTGAGCCTCACCCTAGTGAGGTGAGCGCAAACAGTAAATGTGTAATGGTTCTGAGCAGTGAACACAGACCTGAGTTCAAATCCTAGCTTATAAATTCAGTGATCTGGGCCCACCACCTCAACCACTTGGATACTCTTCCTCCCCTCTCTATAAAAAGAGGATCACAGGATGCCTACCTCTAAGAGTGACTATGAGGTTGAAAAAAAAAATATGTCCAACAATATGGGAGTTGTTAAATACATATTCATTTCATCCTTTTCTCATGAAACTTTTCCTCTTCTTGACTTTATGATTCAGTACTTCCCGGAATTCTCAGGCACTAGAAATTTTCCAAAGAGCTTAAACTGCTTAATTAACTTCTGAGCTCTTCCCAGCATCTTTCTGAGAGAGGTGAGTAGCAGAGATGGATCAGAAATCAGACAGACAACTGGGCTTTGCTTTCTGGCCCAGCAGCATCCCCTCAAAGCCATTTCCCCCCCCTGTTCTCATGGAGCAAGAATGGCATTGTCACAAACAAGACGCTCCGCCAGTATATAGAATCAGTGTGGCATGTGGCCATTGCTTGTGCACCTTGCTGCCTGCAAATATGAGGGCCTGAAATCTTCTAAAATGTTGGGACTGGGGTCCAACAAGCGGTCGTGGGAAGAGCAGGCTTTGGCTGCTGCATGGCCTTGAGCCTCAGGTCCCCTCAAGTACACAAGTTAAGGATGAGATGAAGTGAATGCTGAAAACTCTCTCTAAGCTCAACATTCCTCTGAGCTGGGATGTAGAGAATTTCTTTAGGGTGAAAAGTGATTTCTCGGTCCTCTGTTCCTTTCTGTAGGCTATACTCCCGAATCGTGCTTATACTTTCTCTTGAAGAAAACGTTTTTTAAGTCTATGTAAAATTTCTTTCCTTAGTGGGGGGGGCTCCTTGTAGGGGCAGCATGGGGGGAAGCGAGGAATTAACAATGATGGAGGAGGGAGGAAAAGTGACAATATCTTAGAATGGGTCATTCCAATCTCTTGTGTTTGCCTGGGTTAGGGAGGCCTGCCTGCCTTGTTCTACTTCACAGGAAAATGACAAAAATGAGTGGGAAAAAGTTATGTATCTCCATTTTGCCCGCAAGCCTTTTATAGTCTGCTACATCATTAAAAAGTCTTACTGCGTAAGCCTTACACCCAAAGTTTAGAGAGAAAATATAAATTGAAAAGAAATTACATCCTAAAAAAGTTTATTCTTTTCTTCACCTATATAATTTTTTATTTTAAAATGAGAGAATTGATAAAGGAAAGAATTCCTTTTTCAACTCGGAGGCTCTATGTTTTAGTCCAATAACTTCCACTGTCAAGTATAACTGCTCCAAAATGAACACAACCAATGACAAGCAGTTGGAAAGAGTTGCCTTATATGATTTGTCTCTAAAGGTAAAGGACACACATGCAGTGTTATCTATCCTGATTCAATCCCAATATTTCCTCCGAAGGGGGGAGAGAGACAGAGACAGACCCACAGAGAGAGAAAGACCCCAAAGGGAGAGGAATTGGCTCTCACTAGCTTTCTGTTCAGCTGGAAAGGGAATCAGGGCTTGTTGCTACAACTTCAGTTGGCCCTTCCTTGCGGCGTTTGTGGAGAGGTGACCGTTACTGCAGTCCACTAGTGCCCCCTACTGTCCACTTCAGGAAAATCACAGGGCAGCATGACCGGCTAAACGTGGATAGGTCATCTTAATAGCCTTTCAACTTTTCTGACAAAGAAATCTCAAAAACTTGAAACTGTGACTCGACCTTTAATTCATTGAGGGCAGTTTATACTCAAGTAAGATTATTGTTTTAGAGATTTATAGAATGTTAGGAAGGATCTTTAGAAACTATTTAGCCAATTGTTTTTTTTTTAACCTAAGTGTATTAGCTCTGAGATATTAGCAGCTATTGTGTGAAACCAAAGAGGCCAGGAAATGCTGAGTTAAATAAACATTAAGTAAACATTAAATAAGCAGGTTCTTTCCTGCTGGCCTACTCATATCCTTTAATATGGATTATGTGTCACCCAAGGGGAAATGCAATTTCCCATTAGCACTTGACAGAACAACTACTTTTTATATGAATTTCTTGTAAGGCCAATACTCCAGGAAACATATCTGGGTAGTGATAAACAAGTCTAAATGAAATATTCTACAAATTTGGAAACTGAATCCGAGAGAGGTGCCAGTGACTTGTGGTAGCAGAACCCCCAAGAGGATCCATCGGGAGGCTCTCAAACTCCCAGAGCTGCTTCTTCACCAGAGTGCCCCTCTCCTTAGAGTTGATCTTTAGCATTTCTGTTTGCATAAAGCATGCTTATTTGTGGAATGGGGAATGGCACTGCCTTTGGCCAAAGGTACTGGGAAAGTGAAGTAGGCTCCTTTCAAGTATGCTCCAACTCTTTGTGCTTCTGGTATTTTCAATTCAATTTCCCTTTGTCTCTTGTGAAGAACTTTATTGTTTCATAAAAACCCTATATTCACAGAACCTCTATATTCAACAAATACTTATGCACACAGCTTTGTGCTGGTTGGACAATGCAAAGAAGGACAACATAACACACCACATTGGTTAAGAGCAAAGGTTTGGACGTCAAATTCTGGTTCTGCCATATTCTGGCTGTGTATATTTGGACAAGTTACTTATTATCTTTAAGACTCAAGATATGGAAACAATCTCAGTGTCCATCAACAGATGAATGGACTAAGAAACTGGTGTGTGTGTGTGTGTGTGTGTGTGTGTGTACTGGAATATTGTCCAGTCTTGTAAATGTCAACATCTATGAACCCAGAAGAAATTATGCTAACTGAAATAAGCCGCACACAGAAAGAAAAAAAAAACTGAATGACATCACTTATAAAAATATTGAATGCATAGAAACAAAGAGTAGAATGATGGTTACCAGGGACGGGAGGTGGAAGAAATGGGAAGATGTCGGTCAAATGGTACAAATTTGCAGTTATATGAGATGAATACATATAGAGATCTAATGTACATCATGGTGACTATATCTAATAACACTATAATTAACACTCTAGAAATTTGCCGAGAGAGTAGATTTCAGGTGCTCGCATCACAGCAATAACAAAAAGTGGTAACTATGAGAGGAGAAGATACGTTAATTAGCTTGAAGGCAGTAATCACTTCACTATATACATGTGTATCAAATAATCATGTTATACAGTGTAAATATCTATAATTTTTATTTAAAAATCAATTTAACAAATAAACATAAGACTTAGACTCCCCATCTATAAAACACAGATTATACTAATACCTTCACAGGATTGTGTTGAGGATTAAAACGGCTAGCACAGTGCCAGCACATACAAGTATTCAAGGAATATTTGCTGCTATTATTGTTGTTGCTGTTATGATTATTGATATTATCTTGCTGTTATCCCCAAGGACTTAGTAGCTCAGTTGTAGAAAGGAAACAGCACATCCAAAAGCTTCAAATAACAATATAAGGGAATGGATCAGAGATAGCCACTGGGTTTCATGCCACGTGCCAACCCCAGGGCCTTTATTGGCTGCCTCACATTCTGTGTTGAGATGAATTCTGAAGTTCTTGCCGGCCTTGAGTGGAAGGAGCACCAATATCAATTAGGGATTTTTTCATGGGAAAGGGAGTGTGGATAAGAGCCTATACTTGGCATTCTTAGAATGAATGATAAAATGTCACGTATGGCAGGATAGAACAGTCGCTTCTGGTGGAGATAGGATTGCTTTACTTGGGGGATGGGTTTGATATGAATGAAAGGAAATGAAGTAAGGCAAGAAGAGGTATCTGGCACCAGGATTTTTCCTGAAAATGTGTTAAGGATAAAACGCACATGGCCATTTGGGTGGCAGTAAGTAGACCAGCCTGTCTAAAGAAAGGTCTGATGCTACAGATTAGTTCTACAAATATGGTAACCAGAGACACTGAGCCAGTGATCCAACATCAAATAAGCTGTCCCATTGTTCCCATAAATTTCTCTCATACACACTGGGACATGTGGCTAAATTTGAAGTTCAGAAAATGTGGACACCAGTAAGTCTTTAGTACCATCTTGTCTACCATGGCGCTATTTAAAGACTCCTTCCCTTTGCTTCTGAGGACCATCCTTTTGTGTTCAGTTCACAGCTGCTGTTCAAAACCCATCACTCTATGTGCACTTTACAGAGTTGTTACAAATGTCTTCCATCATGCACAGCTGGCTTTGCAACCCCAAGCATCTGAGATTCTCAACCAATGCACACACAGATTAAAAAGTCATTGAAAATGAAAATGAAGAATCAACTTACCAGAAACTGTAGCTGCCATGTATACCATGTGCCCCCTCTATACTCAGAACTGCACTACCCCTGGGGGCAGTGGCAGAAGGGCGGGTATCAAAAAGATATTTATCAGAACCACAAATAAGAATAGGAAGTTTTGAAAAATTCCTGTTTGTAAAACTTCATAATTTGGTCTAGTGTGACTTTATTCATCCATTCTTTTTTATGGAGTGTCTGCCACTAAGCAGGGACTTCTTTATTAGTTAGGACTTACGTGGTTACAAGCGACAGAGAGACCTAACTCAAACTCGTTTAAGCAAAGGAGGGGTTTGTTATAAGGGATAATGTGATGTCTGTGAAACCCAAAGACAGGACTGTGCCTGGGGCATGGGAACAACTGAAACCAGGAGCTCAAAACCATCAGAGTTCTTTTTTATTTTTGTCTCTGTGCTTCCATTCACTCTCTTCATTAGTTTCGTTCTTCGCTCTAGCTAGTGATCAGCTTTCTTCAAGTGGCGAAAAACATGGGGGCCAATAGCTCCCTAACTTAACAGTACATTTAATAACTTTGGTCACTAGGGGGAAAAAAAAAACAAAGCATAAAAAACAAAACCTATCTTAACATTCTTTCTGGTTCCAAGTTGAAAAATCCCAGGGAAGGATTCACTGAAGCAGTTGGAGTCAGGTAAACTCCAGAGAGTCATGAAACAACATGGCAAATCCTGTGGGAACCACAAAGATGAGGATAAGGAAAGGAAGGTTCTGGAAGAGAGGAGTGGGTTGAGGTGCTGGGCAAATAAGACAAAACGCCTGTGACATCTTCCCTTATTTATGCCATGCCAACTCCACTTAGCTATCAGTCAATTCCATTCATTTAATAAGCACCTATTTACTCATTTACTGAGTGTCTGCTATATGCTGGATACTGCACTAGATTTTAGGGATGAAAAGATGACCACGATGCCTCTTAGAGTGCTGGCATTCAGGGATACAAAGAAACATAAAATATATTTGGTTTAGGACCTCTAGGAACTTACCATATAACTGGGGAGGGAAGACTGTGTATTTGGAGAATAACCAAGTGTCAAGCTGTGTGCTATGGATGATGAGGCTAAAAAAAGGTAAGTGGGGTCAGTGAGGAACATTCAGGGGAAACAGCTTGGAGAGGGTGATACTTCGGCAGGGTCTTTAAAGGGGGAGGAAGTTTTTGTTTATGACCACATGTGTTTCAAGTGCAGGATTTTCACAACATCACACTAAGTGAGGCCCTCTGCTCATGGCTCTCTGCATCTGGAGGCCTTCTGGAATGCAGCCGTCAGCCAGTGGCCCTGTTCCTCTCTCAGAGACAGGACTACCACCCACAGCTCTTCTGATAGCCTTGTTTTTTTATTGCCATGGCTCATTGGATCAAAGCCTCTGAGTTTGATGCAAGTTCAGAATAATTCAAGGATTAACTCATCTCTCTGTGCTTGGGGAGCTACACAAGCAACATCTGGTACAGCCTGCAGAGGGATTCTTCACCCAAGGAGTTTCAAATTTCAACATGTGAGCCATCCTGCTGAATAACATCATCGACGGGAACAGCACTCAGAGACCTCATCTTGTAACAAGAGCTCTGTGTAACACCCCGCGGTCATGTTTTGCACACAATTATAATAAATGGTGCAAATTGTAACAGGTTCTTTATCATCTTGTTTCTTGCCAAAGGGACTGAATTCCACATTGATGGGGTTGAAATTCCCTTGTGGGTTTCCTCTGGGACCATTCCATAGCCCATCCTAGCACCATTAATAACACCCTTCCTGTGCATGGACAAGACCATAGGCTCACATTTTAATGTTGTCACAGGGAATTTCTTGGTCATTCCTTTTTTCAAATCCCATATATCACTTCCGCGTCTTCCCAGGCCCCCTGGAAACTCCTTGGTTGGGACCATTCCTTACCTCTTGGTAAATCCTGATTTGGTAAATCCCTGGCTCTGCCCTCTGTATCCCATGGGTTAGTCCCACTGCTCCTGGAATTCTCAAGATTTTACCATGTTCTTAAAGGTGAAACACCATAATAACAAATAGTTAGGTGTTATGTGCCAGAGATGTATTATTACAGAGGCGCTGTTATCATTACCCATGACTCACCAGAAAGAAAATGAGAATTCACTCAGAGTTCGAGTGAATTGCCCAAGTACAAGGTATGAACCCATGTTTGTCCCATATCAAAGACTGCGTTCTTTCTAAGGGATAAGTATAGGGCCCCAAGAATATGGTGATGGGAGTCTCACAGGGAAATCCCTACTTGTAAGTTGGGGAAGGAGAAGGAAAGAAGAAAACACAAAGAGTATGGCTCTGAATTCAAAGGAGGAGAATTTTGAGACATGGTGAATTGTGTCTAAAACCAGAATGGGTTGGTGAATATTAAGACCATTGGCATGAAAAAAGGTTATTGGCAAATGTTTTCAAGAAAAACTTCAGTAGAGTAATGGACCTGGAAGAGGTTAGATAGTGGGTAGAACAATACAGACTGCAAACAAAAGGAAAGAGCCAGTAGACAGATAATGGAATAAAGTGAAGGGCTGGTCTGTATCTACTAAACTTGAAACTCTGGGGATGAGGCCCAGGAATTACTTTAACAAACCCTCCAGCTGATCCTGATACACACTCAAGTTTGTGACCCACTGCTATTGCAGAATTTCTCAGCCTTGGCTGCACATTGGAATCACCTGGAGTAATGATGCTTCTGCCCCATTTCCAGGCAATGGGGTTTGATAACACTCTCCAGGTGATTCTAATGTGCAGCCAGAATTGGAAACCATCAAAGAGGAAAGGAAGGAGTAATTCTAACTACAGTGCAGAGCTCTGGCTATCCCAGGCATTGTGCTAAGAATGTGCTTTTCAAGCTTGAATGGGCATAAAGATAATCCAACAAGTTCCCAGCGCTTTGCACGCATTGCTCTAATGAATCCTCAGGACAAGTCTAGGAGGCAGGTACCATCATTAGTCCCATCTTATAAATGAAGACATTGAGTTCCCAAAAAGTTACCTGATTTGCCTGGGGTGTCATGGCAAGAGTATGGCAAAGCTGGAACTGGAAAATTAAGTCTTCTTTGACTCCAAAGTACTCACTTTTTAAAAATTGTGGTAAAATATACATGACATAAAAATTGCCACTTTCACCATTTGTAAGTGTACAATTCAGTGGCATTAAGTATATTCACAATGTTGTACCACTTATCACAACTATCCATTTCCAGAACTTCTTCATTTCAAAAAGAAACTCTACCCATTAAACAGTAACTCCCCATTCTCCTCTCCCCCCCAGCCCCCTGGTAACCTCTATTCTGCTGTCTCTATGAATCAAAGTATTTCTTCTAAATCACTACGTTTCTAGATGGGCTCAAAGAAGAAATTTGCTGGAGGTGCTGAAATTGATCATTTTTTTTCCTTGAAAAAGAGTATCTCTGAGTTAGCTAAGGCTCCCACCTGCAACCTGTGTTCCCAATATTCTGAACAACTTGTAATTCCCACCAAACAGCATATTCTCTCTTGCCTCTGTGCCGCAGCACAGGCAAACCTCTCCACTGTGTGACTTTTCCCACCTTGCCTTCATTTAGCAAACCGTCTCCTCCTCCAAGTTCCCTTCCAGGCGTTGACTGTCCCTGGGAATCTGAACCAGGTGCTTCAACTGGTCCCACAGACTAGGCTTTGCAAATTGGTGTACATTCCAATCACTTTGGCATTTTGTTAAGACGCAGATTTGGATTTAGTGGGTTTGGGACACAGCCCTAAGATTCTGCATTTCTGTCAAGCTTCTGGGTGATGCTCATGCTACTAGTCCCCAAACCGCAGAGTTAATGAGATCAGAGAGTGCAGTGCTTTACCATAGCATGTTTTACTGTAGTATTTCCTTGGCGGTTTCACCATTCCACTGTAAATACCTTGAGGACAGAAACCCATTTTATTTATTGTTATATTCCAGAGGCCAACATTGTGCCAACTCAGAGTAACTCTCAATAAATGTTGACAAATGAATAAATAAATGAGTTCACAGGCTGGAAAAACAAAAAGGAACCAGATCTGTAAAGAGCCTCATAGACCATACTGAGGAATTTGAAATTTATCCTCAAGTTATGGGGAGGCATTGAAGGATTTAAGAGGGTGATATATCAAATGTGTACGTGCAATGTGTTATAAAGGACCAAGACTGAAATCAAGGAAATAGCATTAGTCCAAGCAAATGATTATGAAGGCCTGCACTAAGGTAGTGGTGGTGGAAATGGAGAGGAGGAAGAAGATTCAAGACCATAGAAATGGTTTGGCCACACATTCCCATTTGCTTCAGACAGATCCAGTTTATTCTAGGTACGATTACCAAGAGTGTCTCTTTCATTTCCCAAAATACCCTGGTTTGGGTGAACTATGTGTTCACCCTGTACATAGGAGATAAAGTTAATAGAACATGAGGCGGGGTGGGGAGCAGAGTGAGCAGCCCAGGATATGGTTCTCAAGTTTCTGCCCTTGGTGACCCAGTGGATGCTAACACCATTTACCACACTAGGCAGTCCAAGAGGAGAAGCAGTGGGAGAAGTTTCTCCTTAAAATAAAAATAGTTAAGTCATACAGCGAGTCATTGAAAAGTGTAAATTGCAGTAATAGCATGACAGAAAATTACAAAGGAGACACACAAATGGCTGAAATTTTGGGGATACCGATCAAAAGTATCAACAAATTGAGAACATCCTTCTTTCCTGAAGCTCTGAATTGTTAGTCTCAGAACAATTTATTAGGAAACCTGTCCCAATCTGCCATTCAGACCAACTGCAGATGGGAAGTCAAAATGATCAATTAATTCTGGGTTTTGTTTCTTCCCATTTTCTTCCCTTCAAGTCATTGCTGTGTCTGATCTCAACAGTCAATGGATCTTTAGGATTCGCTGGATCACATTTCACCGTGGTCATTTAGACAGTCAAAATAATGATATACCACACAAAGACCCAACTAACTGAGTGAGAAGAATACATTCCTTGGTTTGGTCTGAGCCAAAGGTCAGTGAACACGAAAATGTTCTACTTCATTTATAAGCCACATGACCCAACATCTTTACTAACCTCTATTCATACTTGCCAACACCTCAGCTTTTTTTTTCCCTCTCCCCCAACATGTCAACAACTAGGTAATTATTTAATAAACCTCAGAACATACCTTTGCTGCTTCTCTTGGCCAGAGAAACCTGGGATTTTCCCAGTTTCAATTTCAAGGTGGCTCTTAATTGAGGGTTCCAAGTGCAGTCAAGCGGAAAAATAAATTCACCCACTTAGAGCCTTTTGAGGGAACTTTCAAACAAAACTGTGGCTTTTCGAGTATTAAGAGGAAATGACAGACTGAACTAAGCTCAGTATTCATTTTAATACACGTGTTAAAGGTTATGTTAGCAGCTGTCAAATCGCTGGCCAGCCCTAAAGACATCACTCTTCGCTTTAAATCAGATTTCTTGGGTGGTACCCGGAACTTGCTTCTCCGGGCTGACCCTGAGCAAAAGGATTGTTCAAGGAGGTGAAATTTGTCTTCCAGGCATTCCTATCACTGGTGCTAATATCAGGCTGATGGGCAAAAGACATGGAACCCCGGACCCCCAAGTCCTGAGACCGTTACTGCTCCCTGCAGCTGTTGGAGACTCAGAGAACTCTTACGTGCTGGAGTCTGATGCGAAACCCAGTGAATTCCCCCTGGTGTTTTCCCAGCCTGGGGGCAGCCTCTGGACCCCACCATGACTTCCCCCTTGGGAAGTAGAGAGCAGATATTTCCAAACAGGAGACAACCCTAAGTCTGCATTTATTGCACCAACCAGAAGCAAAAGATAAGAGTTGAAAGTCCTAAGAAAACACACCTCACAGCCACCAAAGTCTTAATCACACTGAAAGCCCTCTCTCCAAGCCCCAGTCTCCAAAGGAATCCTTGGCCATTTCTGGGCTCCTCCTCAAGGATCGTGGACAGGTGCAGAAAAGTTCATTTCACACTCCCACCAAAAATCGGGGACGGCATACAAGTCCCCCTCTATTATGTTTCTACTTCTGATTCCCAGGACCTACCTCCTCCCTCCCACATCTTAACTGCAGAGTTCAACCAGGATCCGCCCTTTCAAAGCAACACAGACATTTCACACATTCTTCTAAACTTGCCAGTTTAGAGACTTGACTTCTTAGGGCATTGTATTATATGACTGGAAAAGCTGACAAATTCATTCATAATCGCATGATAGTGGTTGATAATCATACCGTCCTGATGGAAAAGGTTGACTGCAGGAGGTATAGCCCTGGGGTGGGTCCTAACCCCAATCACTTGCTACCTGGTGACAACCTGACTGCAATAATTTCCTCAGTGGTAAAATGGAGCTAACTGTGGTGAAATTCCCTTCTCTCAGGGCCTTTGATATGGTTAGATGCTCAACAAATGTTAACAGAATCTGAGTGATAATGCAAGCAGGGAGATAAATGTCCTTGGTGGTTAAGCAGAAGTCCCTAGTACCTGGTATTGAAAACAATTATGCTGCCTCTCTGTAGGTAATTCCAAATAAGATTTTCTTGTTCAAAATGACAAATGGACCTTTAGGACAGTGAAACCATTTTGATTGATACTACAATAGTAGACACATGCCATTATACATTTGTCCAAAGTCAGTTAA